ATTAGAATTGCAGAAAACATGAAAGTTAATAAAACATCAAACTCTGCTGAAAGTAAGCTGTACACAAAGAGGTGTAATGAAAACAGCATTCAACCAACTTTGTTATATTTGCTTACAGATGAAAGAGATTTATTGGGTACAGTGTGGTTTTCTGAGTGGTCATACAAGGGCAATTCTTGCACTGAAATAACATTGTTTCCCCTTCAGTGAATGTAAACAGGAAAACAGTTTTAGCTGACTAATATATATAGCTTTGGTCAGCCATTGGGGTGAAAGATAACTTGCAAGAACTTTGTCACAGAGTACTTCCAGCACAACTGGTAAAATTTGTTATGCTGATGACTTAAATTGCTTCAAAACACAGAGTGCTTGGAGCTTTGGGCACATAATTCATAGATTGGATGATACAGATAAATGCTTGCTTCAGAAAGTCATTTCGCTGAACATTTCTCAAAATGCATAATTAAAAACCAAAATGAGGACTTATTCTTAATGCCCAAGTGTAGCTTTGCATGCACTATAGCCTGCTCTCTTGCTGTGAAATTCGTGGTACTGAAGTGTATATCTTTTCACAAAATGTGCATTGCCTTTAAAGTGGGTTTGAGTTCGTGTGTGTTCAAAGGATAGGGGGTGGTGGCAAACCAAGATTTTGTGGTGGTAAAAATTGCTTGGAGACAAAGGCATTACCTTTTGTTAATTTTTTACTCCTGACCTACTTACTTTGGTTTTGTTGAAATAGCGGTTCCAGGTTTTATCTTTCACTTATTATTAGTTCCTTCAGATCATATACATGTCTAATTCAAAGTTAACTGGCAGAAATTCTGCTGCAGTTGAAACAAGTTCAGGGCAGGCAATTCATAATATACCTGGCCTGATGAGATTTCAGCCCAGTAATTCTTCTGGTGACTTGTCTGCATGTCGGTTGTTTTGGGGAGGAAAGTTTTGGTGGGATGGATACACCTTATGAGCCCCTTCTGGCAGCTTGAATGTATGTGCATTTCTGTGTTGTTGTTGTTTAGTCGTTTAGTCGTGTCCGACTCTTTGTGACCCCATGGACCAGAGCATGCCAGGCACTCCTGTCTTCCACTGCCTCCCGCAGTTTGGTCAAACTCATGCTGGTAGCTTCGAGAACACTGTCCAACCATTTCATCCTCTGTCGTCCCCTTCTCCTTGTGCCCTCCATCTTTCCCAACATCAGGGTCTTTCCCAGGGAGTCTTCTCTTCTCATGAGGTGGCCAAAGTATTGGAGCCTCAGCTTCAGGATCTGCCCTTCCAGTGAGCACTCAGGGCTCATTTCCTTCAGAATGGACCGATTTGATCTTTTTGCAGTCCATAGGACTCTCAAGAGTCTTCTCCAGCACCATAATTCAAAAGCATCAATTCTTTGGCGGTCAGCCTTCTTTATGGTCCAGCTCTCACGTCCATACATCACTACTGGGAAAACCATAGCTTTAACTATATGGACCTATACGGATCTCTGTGTTACCATGCTGCAAAATACACAATCAAATGTAATTTTTCACAATGTTTTTCTTTTACAGATTGTGGCAGGGTTATGTGTTGATTCTGTGGACCACTGTATTGATATAGGAAGTTGTAAATTGCTTGTACTGTTCCACATTTTTGTTTGTGTTCATTGGTTTTATTGATGTGTTTATACTGTGAGCTGTCTCATAATCCTATTTTGATGAAGGGGAGTCAAATATTCACATACAGTAAATATAGTCCTGTTTCTGTGAATGTGTGCATGTGACACATGCTGAAAATTGACCTCCTCTCCTGAAGGGCCAAAAGCAGTTTAATGGAGGGGAGGGGAAACATAAGAATACCCGATCTGATAGTGGCTCTCAAGTAAGAAGTCCACATTACTGTTACCTTCAAGTTTCTAGCATTTTGTGGATTCTCTTGTGGTGCGTAGCATGACAGTCACAATTTCTGAATGTTGCGCTATGGTTGCGTGTGCTTTATCATAATGTGTAAAGTTTGTTTTGGACATGTATATTGGTGTTTGAAACTTGAAGAGAAAAATGGGAAGGCAGAAAATTGGGAGGAATCCTACAGGGGAACGTTTGGGCACAACCAACAGGATATTTTGCATCAGAGTTGGAGGTCAAGGGCACAAGATTTTTAAAAATGCGTTGGACTCCATAAATTTACTTCTGTGCCCCTGAAGGCTTCCCCACCTCTTGAAAAAGTTCCCTGAAATGGAGCCCCTTTCTCATAATTCATTTTCAGGAGGCATATTCTCTGCACATTCAGTTTAGAGTTACATTTAGACCATGGAGACAGTACTTGAACATTCTTGGTAAAATAACACCTTCACATTGCAACCCTAAGCATGTTTATTCAGATGTAAATTCAATTTATTTCAATGGGAATCACTACCTATTAAGTGTTGTTGGGATTGCAGCTTTTGCATACCTCAGATGACATGTATCAACCAGCTCATTTCAGCACTCACCAAGCATGTTAGCTTGCTCAGTTTTTCGTTAGAAGCAGGAAGAGCCAGATGGAAGTTAAAATACTGTGCTTTCATGTTTTGAAATTAGTAATGTTGCATTTTACATGAAAGTTATGACACATTCGGTGATGTGACTAGAAAGCTCAGCTTTGGTTTAAATTGACAGTAGTACAGTATTCTTGTTTATAGGGTTTGCCAGGGTGGTGTCTGTAGGAATTTGAAAATTTGAAAGCGTATTTTCAAATACAAAGCCTTAGAAATAGTCCTGTTATAGTAAGGTCATTATTTTCACTGTAAGTTAAAGAAAAGCAAAAGAAAGAAAAAAATGCAACTAGTGATTTGGGTCAGAAAACCTCTTTCTCCCTGTATATCAGATGGTGTATTAAATTCTCTCATTTCTAAAAATAGATTGGGTGACATACTGTTGAGGACACCTGCCACCCCAGATTTTCACTGATGCAATAGGACATCTCCTTCCTCTCCTCCCCTCTGCACCCCTTTGTGCACCCCCAAATCTGAGCAACTCTGGGAGGCATATGAGGGCGAAGAAGACAGGGAAGTCCATTAATTAGTAACAGAATGGTTGGATACACTATCTGTCAGACTGAATAACTTTTTGGAGGCAACATATCTACTTGCATAGTCTCTATTTCTTTGTGAAGAGAGTGGATTAAAAGCAGAAGTATGCATAATTGAAGCATGCTAAATTAGAACCCAATTGATTTAGGGCGTTGGAAAAATATCTTCAACTTTTTCTGGAAAATCCACATCACTGGGTAGGGCTCCAGTTTCTTGCTTGAGGAGTAGTATTTTTGGAAATAACAACATTAATTCTGAGCTTTAAGTTTCAGTATGACTGAGCGGCGTGGGGCGTGGGATGGTCGGCTTTGGAAGCATTTGCTGTGTTTTTTTGCAATGGTGTCAGATTTGTCTCTTTTATGCCTGTTCTTGGTCGTGTTCAAAATAATCGTGAAAGCAGAATGATAGAATGGAGGGACTGAGGAGGTGCCATAGCTCACAGAAGAGCATATTCTTTGGACTCATATGATCCCACATTCAATCCCTGCCTGTTAAGACAGAAAAATATGAGAGGCTATTGAAACTGCTTATGTAAAACAAATACTGTATAACAGTGTCAGCTGTGGATGGTGGATGTAGATACAGTGTCTAACCTCATGTTATTCTGAGGTGGGCAACAGTTGTCCTTGACTGAGCACCTGAATGGGAAACCAGATTGGTTTCTTTCTATCTCCCTGTGAGGAGCTGTGTCCACGGTCTCCTGGGCTGCCCTGTAGTAATGTCAGTAGCCCTTAGGACTAGCAGTATCACCTGGGAAGGAGTGATGGGAGGAAGGAAGGAGTAAGCAGAGGAGGACTACACAGCAAAATGATTTGGAAGGCTGTACTGCAGTGGTTTCAGAATACAGTGGTATCTTGGTTCTCGAACTTAATCTGTTCCGGGAGTCTGTTTGACTCCCAAAATGGTTTGAAAACCAAGGTGCAGCTTCCGATTGGCTGCAGGAGCTTCCTGCACTCAATTAGAAGCTGCGTCAGACGTTTGGCTTCCAAAAAACTTTCGGAAACTAGAACACTTAATTCTGGGTTTGTGGTGTTCGGGAGCCGATTGGTTTGACAACTAAGCCATTCAGGAACCAAGGTCCCACTGTATTAAAATATAGTCCTGTGGTTTATGGGACTGGCTGTATAGCCACAGTTAGCAACTAGCTTTGCTGAGAAGATGGAATCCCCCAGGATGATCAAGGCAGCTGCCGGCAAGTCCTGTCCTCAGTGTGTTCTCATTCGCTACTGCCAAAGCTTTTGCTTCTTCTTCCTCCTTCACTCCCCCCACTGAAATTGGTCAGTCAGTCAGTTAGTCTCTCTCTCTCTCTCTCTCTCTCTCTCTCTGTGTCAGTGTGTGTGTTTGTGTGTGACAGCAGGGGTAGGAAGGAGAAGAAACCCTAGACATTTAGCAACATAGTTTATTGCTTCCAGATACTGTTACATGATCTTAGTATTTACCAACGCCTTTGTCTAGTAGTGGCCTCATGTAGATTTTTGCCTGCTTTTGTCCTTTATTAAGAAATACATGCAAGATGGAGGGGTGTACTTGTGCCCTTCCTTACCATGATTCCCCTCATGCATACAGCATGAGCTCCTTTCTCTCCCCGCTTACAAGGACAGGAAACCTCCTAGGCACCTGGCTTACTGCAGTGTATACAGATGCGAAACTTCTGCTTAAGAATGCAAAATATTCCCCCCCCCATATATACTACTAAGAGTGTGGTGCTGCCAAAAATTAGAAAGATGTTCTGAATGCTTCCTCTTTGCTGCTTGAAATGGCTGCTTCTTGAGATGGGAGGAAGAGGTCAGATGACAGGGCTGGGCCAGTTGAGCTACAGCAACTACTGTGCTCTGTGTTGTGTTGCAGTGCAGGAATTTTGGTGCTGGGTTATAGACAGAAAAGGGATGCTGCTTGTATACTGCCCACACCAGTGCCCAGCAACCTTCCTAAGTGAGCCTGTTCAGGTGATGTTGTAGTCCTGAGGGATAGCTCAGTTGGTAGAGCGAGAGTCTCTTAATCTCAGGGCTGTGGGTTTGAGCACTACACTGAGTGAAAGATTCCTGCACTGCAAGGGATTGGACCAGATTATCCTTGTGATCCCTTCCAACTCTATGATTCTATGAATCCAAAAATGGAGGTTGTTAGGGATTTGAGACGACTACACCAGGGGACTAGCTCAATTATGTATGGGCACCATGAGGAGAATGGGGCTGCCTAAGTCTGTTTTCGGCCCAACACATAGTGTAAGGCATGGGTAAGCAAATTAAGGCCCGGGGGCCGAAACTGGCCCAATCGCCTCCTCAATCCAGCCCGTGGATGGTCTGGGATTCAGCATGTTTTTACATGAGTAGAATGTGTCCTTTTATTTAAAGTGCATCTCTGGGTTATTTATGGGGCATAGGAATTTGTTCTCCCCCCCCTATATTCTGGCCCTCCACAAGGTCTGAGGGACAGTGGACCGGCCCCCGCTGAAAAAGTTTGCTGACCCCTGGTGTAAGGGGACACCCTCAATTTGATTTTTGCACTGAACTGATGACAACAAGTCACTTTGAGCTTTGACTGCCCACCTGTCAAAGCTTGACCACAGGGATTTGGGGAACTGAGGATCTGCCCCACCAGTCTAGTTCTCCACCCCCTGGTGTATGTGCTTTTGCCAGCTTGCTGTCTTTCTCTTTTGTTTATTGATAGATCGTATGAGTCTATTGGGTTTCATTAGTATTGTACCCTGCTTTGGGATTATTTTATAATGAAAAGTAGGCAACAAATTGAATAAATAAATAGTAAATTAACAAAGTAACTGCTCTGAAGAAGATAATATATGTGTGCCTGCCATGAGGGAACAGAGTCATTAGGTGCCCCAATTTAATAATCCACATAATAAATCAGTATGAATTCACTTTCATTCATATTTCTCTTGTCAGTAGGCAGAATGCAGATACCCAGAACAAGGGCTCCAAAATGTTTGTTAGCTGCTGAAAGCAGAGGACTGCTTTATGCTTTTTCCCTAAGTTGCCAAATGATTTTGAAATATTTATTTATTCAAACAATGGATTAAATAGATTCTAATGATTAAGATATGTGGTACTACATTTCTGTAATATAAACAGGCTGTGCAGTTATCCTGCATATTTTAATCTTGTGTATGCTAGTAGCAGCTACATATTTTTGGGCACTGATGCAGGAGCTTGTCAAACCAAAATGGTTTAAAATGTAATTATAGAATAGGGCGCAGATTGAAATGAAATGAAGAATGTTTTAAATTTCATCTTTTTATTAACATAAAACACTAGCTTGAGATAAAAGAGCTTTGGTATAAGATAGGGTTCCCTTTTTTGTTTTGTTTTCTGTTTTGTGATAATGTGCAGACAGAGCCAGATCAGGCATCCACTTTTATCCTGTATTCTGTTTGCAACAGTTGGCAGTGCCTGGGAGTTTGAGGAACTGCTAGATTTCTATATAGAATCTTAGCTTTCCACAATAACAAACAGTTCAGCTGTACCCCTGTATATTAAATTGCAAGTGCTTTACCTGTTGGTTTCCGTGGGTCTTATTTCTATTAGTGCTTTTGATAGGAGAAATACCTATTTCCCTACAAAGAAAGCATGGTAAGTTTTAAAAGCGTAGTATAGTGGTACCTTGGTTCTCGAGCGTAATCTGTTCGACTTCTGAAATGTTCGACAACCGAGGCCTAAAAGACTGGCTGCAAGTTCAGTGGAGAAAATTGAAAAACACACAGCAGAAGCCGTTTGATTTCCAAGGCACATTTGAAAACGGAAGCATTTACTTCTGGGTTTTCAGCGTTTGAAAACCGAAACGTTCAGCTTCCAAGATGCTCAAAAAATGAGGTACCACTGTATTCTGTTGTATGAAAATCTGCTTTCTTATTAAGCTTCTGCCTATTCATTTTTTGCAGACTTATCCAATATCTATTGTATCAACAACAATGGTCTCTCTTCTGAAGAGGCACTGAAAGTTTAAGAAAGAGCAATGCTAGTGTTTCAGTTTCTTTTAAAATCTGAAGTATTTGAGGAACTGTCCAATCAGATTAAAGCTAATTCAGGTTCCATTGATTTTTAAAATCCGTTTTATTTTCTAAATAACTAAGATTCAAAATAAGGAACTTTAAAATAAGTTGGCAAACTTGCATATCATTTACTTGCAAAGGTTTTAATACTCTCTTGATTTTCTTCCCTGCAGGCGGAACTCACTGGCATCAAGTGGCGTAGGTATAACTTTGAAGGCCATGGAGATTGTGGCCCCATTATCTCGGCCCCTGCTCAAGATGACCCCATCCTTCTGAGTTTCATCCGCTGTCTGCAGGCCAATCTGCTTTGTGTCTGGCGCCGTGATGTCAAACCTGATTGTAAGGAGTTATGGATATTCTGGTGGGGAGATGAACCAAACTTAGTAGATGTGATACATCGTGAGCTACACAGTAAGTATTCTCCCCCTTCTCCATCTTGCTCTAATTCTACAGTGAACGTTTCTTTTCTGTGTGGTCTTCAGTGCTTGTGTACAGAAAAATTTATTAAAAGTTGTGAATGCAATATATGAATGAAACCCCAGACCAGAAATAAATTGGATGTAAGGATACTGGTAATGTTGGTGATTTTTGAGTACAAGTGTAAATGCACGTATTGAACTAAAATAGGCAGATGAAGAGCATAGAGACCTAATGGTCATATTATTCAATAATGTAGAGACTTTATTTTTTGCGTTGTCTTTTTAACCTAATGAGGCAGTACAGAGACTTTATCCCAACTATATTTTCTGTTGTAACACCACCATCTCCTCTAGAGGAGCAGATTGAAACCCTCTTCCACAAGGGGGCAATAGAACTAGTGTACAGGGCCCAAAGACATCATGGATTCTGTTCAAAGGATTTCACGATCTCCAAGAAAGATGGAGGCCTCCAGCCTGTATTAGATCTTGCGATGCATTTATAAGATGCAAGGAAGATGTCTAGCATCCTTCCACTTCATCACATTGGAGCACAGTTTGCCTCAGTATGGATAAAGGATATCTGTTTCCACATCTCCACTAGCCAGAGCACCACCAGTTCCTCCATTTCACCTTGGGGGATGCACTTTTCAATTTAGTATTATTCTATTTAGCTTGCACCTTGAGCGCTTGGAACAGGGATGGTGGCACCTTAATTATGGAATGCCCTCCCTGATGAGAGTCAACCTGGCACTTACCTGGTGCCACACAGGTCTTTATGTATTTCATAAAATAAAAAAAAATCTCTGAGGCTTTTTTTTTTTTTTTTTGCTCTTGGAACATTTTGACTTTTCTGGGTTTTAAATGCTGTTCCACTGTTTGTGCTGGTTTTTAGGTCAAAAATTAATTGGTTTTTTTATGGTTTAATTTGCATATTGTCTGCTGTGTGTGAAGCTCCCAGAGGACTTGCTGATTGGGTTGCCAACAAATGTTATAAATAAAAAAACTGGGAGCAAAAATCCTGCATGTAGCACTGGTAGGCAAAAAACCTTGCTACTGTAACATAGGAAAGCAGGGTATGGTTTGCCTTATTGCCGAGGCAAGGGCAAGGATGTGTTCTGGGGGTCAGTGGCTGTGAACAGATATGAGAGAGTGAAGGTAGGGTTTTTTAAAAAAAATTATGTCGAAACCAAATTGCAACTTCTTTTGCGGGGATAATAACATACCATGAAAATTCAGTGCAGCACTAATCTATAGGCAGTTACCAATACTCATTGGGCTGTTTTCATTCTCTAATTTGTCCCAATAGGAACAATGACAATTATAATGTTAAATTTCACACAGCTAGGTAGAAAAACAGTGCATGCTTTCAAGCATCCTGGACCAGAATTTTGGATACTGCTGGCGATTGAAGCAGTTTGTGGACAGGGAAGCTACTACACCAATTTGTGGACAAAAAACCATTGTAAATACTGCTTACACCCAGCTGTGCAGAAATAGAGATTAGTTTACACATCAACTAATGTTTTGATAGGGACGCAGGTGGCGCTGTGGGTTAAACCACAGAGCCTAGGACTTGCTGATCAGAAGGTCGGCGGTTCGAATCCCCGCAACGGGGTGAGCTCCCATTGCTTGGTCCCTGCTCCTGCCAACCTAGCAGTTCGAAAGCATGTCAAAATGCAAGTAGATAAATAGGTGCTGCTCTGGCGGGAAGGTAAACAGCATTTCCGTGCGCTGCTCTGTTCGCCAGAAGCGGCTTAGTCATGCTGGCCACATGACCCGGAAGCTGTACGCCAGCTCCCTCGGCCAATAAAGCGAGATGAGCGCCGCAACCCCAGAGTCGGTCACGACTGGACCTAATGGTCAGGGGTCCCTTTATCTTTAATGTTTTGATAATATGTGGGGTGGAAGTAAAAATGAATCTAGTGTCATGGTATAAAATAATGAATGTGAACATAAATAAGAAATTTCTATTGCTTTTGAAGCAGGCTATGAAGATGCCTATTTGGCGTTGTCATGCCATTCCCAGGCAAACACTGACTAAAACAAATGGGGAAGTAGGAGGAATTAAATAAAATTTGTCTGGTCTTAGAGTGTGCTGTGGAAATGCAGTGCCTAGTGGCCAGGTGGAGGAACTTAAAATGCTTAAAAACAACAACTTCTGTACATCTTCTTTTTTCTGTTTTCTATGACATTTGCTGACTTGGCTATTTTTGGTTCACATGTTTAGACTCTTTGTTCCTGCTCTGCATGCTGCTTACATATGAACAGAAAGGGTTCAACTAGCTAGTCTCATAAGCTAAAAGCTTGCCTTGCTATTAATGCTCAGCTCTGAGCTCCACAAAACTGAAATAAAGAAGGTGGTCAGCCAAGGATGCATCCCCCTTTAGCTATATCACCCCGTTTTTATTGAACTCCCTTCTCAGTGAAATTTTCCTAGTTTCCCTTTTATTTTATTTTTGGTGCCCGGTAAAAATGTTTATTTGTCAGGCTTTCTAATGTGTACGTGCATACCTTATACTGGATTCTCTTAAAAAACAAAACAAAAAACTTGGTTATAATCTGGCTGTTTGTTGCTTTATTATTATTGATTATTGTTACAGTTTTATATTGCTAG